AATTATATGCAAGGTAAATGAACGAGCTCCCCGCAGAGATTAGAACCCTCACCTCTCTCCAGGCCTTCCGAAAAGCCATTAAAACCTGGCTGTGTCGACAGGCCTGGGGTCGATGAGTTCCCTTCCCCTCTCGAATCGTGTAGCTGTTGGTTGTTTTAAATTCCCTGTACTTTTTGTTGTAGTTCTTGTGTTTCCCTTCCCCTCCTTTGGGTTTGTGTGCCGCTCTGAGTCCCTCTGGGAATAGGGCGGCATATAAATAAAATGAACCTTGAACTTTGAACCTTGAACTAGAACTACTTTGTGAAAGGATGTTTTCCCCATTCACAGAACAATTAATGTATGTTGGGGTTTTTTTGTGTATGTAAAACTTGCCTTTCCTTTTTCCACAGATTAAGTGGGGTGCCTGCGCACTTGTCCTCACAGGAAACATAGTCATATTTGCTACCATCCTAGGGTTTTTCTTGGTTTTTGGCAGCAATGATGATTTCAGTTGGCAACAGTGGTGAAAAGAGTTGGAGTGAGAACTATCAACATGTCATGTCATTCAGTGGCCATCCATACTCAAGAAAGAATGGGCAATAAAGTGAATGTACTGTTTTCACAGAGGGGACCTGGGGTAGGACACTCGGTAGCCACTTTTCTTCTCTTTTCACAAAGAACATTAACATTTTGCTTGATTTAAATTTTTTAACAGGTTGATGCTGTTTTATTTTAATACTTTATTTTGATGTGAGAACAGAATGCTTAAATGTGATGTTTAAAATGTATCTTTTTTAAAGAACATGATAGTGGTGTTTAAATATAAAGTCAAACTTTTCACCATTGATTATTTTAAAACTAACGTCCGGTTATGAAACCAAGAAAGAAAGAAAAAAACAAGAATGCCCCAATCCAGTCAAAAGTATGAAATTTTTGACTGGGTCATGGGCACAGGTTTGGAAGTAGCTGCCAAATTCAGCAAAGATTATGGTTATGCAGAGAACTGTGCATATGGCTTGTTGATTTTAATTAGAGAATTAAGCATGTATTCAGTACTCTTAATTCTTTTCTGAAAATTAGTATGATTCTGGAATGCTGAAGCGTGCCCTTCAAGAGCAGTTATGGATTTTGTTGTGGGATTTTGGAAAAGAACTGAAAAGAAAAGCATTCATAGTAGCTGGCTGGTAGTTTTTTTTTATTATGTATGCGTCTGAAAATGTTACATTTCCATTAATTCCATTTAAATGAGAATGAGCGAACTTTTTATGATAATGGAGTATCTAAGTGTTCATTACTTTAAAAGTTTGTCCAATGTACACATATTTTGACAGTTTTTATTTTTGATTATCTGAAGGGGTGGGGAGATGGAATTTTAATTTTTCTTGAGGAATAGAAGACAGGACATTTAATGTTAATTTTTAAAGCCTTTTCTGAAAACTCTGTGTTTATGTATTGTATGATTCAACATTCTATATCAATTGTTTTTTACGTTTTACCAAAGGAAAGTGTAATGAAACTACTGAGTATAGTTATAACCAGGAGGAGGAAACCCTGCACCAGGCATGTGGAAATAAGTGGTCCTGCTCCTTTACTATTCACTTGTACTTATTACCACAAAGTATAAAAAGATAATTTCTGCTCCCCCGTTTTTTACTTTGTACATGGTATAAAAAGGTTTTTCAGATGTAGATAAACGTTCCCACTGTAGATAAACATTTACCTGGAAGACTAATTACTGCATACATATACAGTCAGAGCTTGGTTGCATTGCAAATCTTTGACTCTGGACATTTTATAGTAATTCTGTTAATGTTTTAGTTTATGCACTAATGTATTAAATGTTAGATCAAAAGTGTAGTTTTGTTAAATATAACACATGTAATTTGCAATATTGAATATCTGTTCCATGCCACTTGGTTTTTTTTTGTTTCTATTAACCATAAATTACCATGTTTGTAGATATAATTCTTTTGTAGTCATGCTTTCCTGGTAACTCCTTAATAAGATACCCAAATGTCTCTGTCTATGCTTGCATGTTATCTTATGCAAACTAGGCAAGATTTGATATAGTCACTTAAACATAGTCCCATTTTAAAACAATGCTATTGACATAGTCCTCTCCATTATCAGCCAAGTCCAGAGTGCCTTGTCTCCTCTCTCCTTGGCTGCTCAGTAGATGTATATGTTTCACAGTGTGTCAGATCCATGGTATAAGAGACAGGTAAATGCATATAAAGGTACTGCGCAGAGGGGTCCATTACAAATAATGCTTGGGGCACTGCAATACTTGGCTTGAAGAGAAAGGAGGGACGAAGACAATTTACCGATCTCTTTCTACTGACAGAACTCCAACTGGTGAAGTAGAGTTGAATCATGGTCTACGTTTGCAGAGTTCATAAGATAAAGTGAATGTTATACAGACTGTAGTAGTTATCAGTGCGGCATTATATAAAAAAACAAGGATTCCTATGCCTCTCTTTTAAAACTGTATGGTATAGATTTCAGATAGAGAATGAACTCTAAAGCCCGATAATTATTAGTTTTATCTGTACTGCATTGAATCTTCAAAAATATTTTTTCCTGAGAGTTAAAGACAGAAAATTGGCAAGTACAAGTGTTCTTTGCAAAACCTGCAATTATTTACATCACAGTCCAACTTTTAAATCTCTGAACCATAGCAGTCTTAGAAACTATGTGCAACTTCTGCTGCATGATACTAAGATTGATGCAATCACGTCCCTGAAACTCCCTGCACTGCACTGATGGTGGACTAGTCTTAGCCATCATATAGACAGATGTGAACTCATTTTGTGATTCCCCCGCAATCCTGTATTGTATCAAGATGGGTTCTCATTTTTACTGTAATATTTCTTGCTTTATGATGACAGGCTACTCTTAGAGAGTGCCTACTCTATTATATTTTATAGTAATGTTTGTTGTCTTAATATTTTTGGGCAGCATTGTGGCTACAGAGCCCATTAGACATACTGCTGCCTCCAATTATCAGGTGTTAAGATATTTGAGACATATGTCTTTTCCCATGTAATATGCACTGAGAAGCATTGCCATCCTACAGGCAGAAATTTTGATGAAAAAACAATAAACAATTTAAATATCAGATGGTTTTGGATTTTTAATGAGCATCCCTTAGCAATAAGATTTTTTATAAGAAAAAACTGTTTCATTCTTTAGCAGAAAGAAAGTTATAATAACTATTGGCAATATATGTAGCTTTTGACATATTCTATGCATTTTATTACATGTACCGGTAAATATAATGCTACCTGCAATAATTCAAATTCTGCTAATTGTGGCTAATTAGTAAGATTTGAAATAGCATTTGTAAAGATCGTTAGCATTTTCTTTAAATTTAAATTAAAAAACAAACAAACCGAGAATACACTGAGGTGTTTTAAGTGGGAACTGATATACAAATGTTTTAAATTAATAAAGAAACAAAAAATTGCTGTAATGAGCCATTTAAACCTGAGGTAGGAGAGGGAAAGGGATGAAATACAACTTTATCTCTTATCTGAACCATGACCGATTACTTCTTTTGGCAAGAATATTTCTTAAAGCAGATAAAAATGGAGGGAAGAAAAAGTCAACATGCAACTGCCCTGGTAATTTTAATTTTACTATTTTTATATAATGCTTTTTCCTTGTTCCAATAAATAAGGGGCTCTGCTGTGTGCCAGAGTATCATATTTCATTCAGAAGTGCAAATTGCTTCTGAAATTGCAGTAGTGCAGTCTACTGCAGATCATCATCTGCCAGCAGTTTGGCAGATCGAATCTCACCAGGCTCAAGGTTGACTCAGCCTTCCATCCTTCTGAGGTGGGTAAAATGAGGAATTGGGGGGCAATATGCTAACTGTAAACAGCTCAGAGAGGGCTGCAAAGCACTGTGAAGTGGTATATAAGTCTAGGTGCTATTGCTCTTGAGATTGCATAGTATTCTTACGAAAAGTAAGTAGAAGCTTCCAATTTAGACATTACTGGATACATTCTTTTAAATTTCCAAAAAAGAAAAAAAATCTCCTTAACAACTGGAATCTGCAGTCTAATGATGTTTTTGCAGAACACTAGTTGCAAAGCTGTGGCAGAGTACAAAGCAAACTTTGTAAACCATTCTGACCTCTAATTATTTTAGATATTTGATGTTATCTTCTTAGTACTCATTATAATAGAGTCCATTTCAAACTTGATTCCAACTTGGGGTCAGTCCAATAGATTAGTACTATAATTATTATCCTGTCATTAGTCCCAAATAACTCAAGCAACAACTGGTTTTCTACAGTGTGTAAGGGGCTTCTCATCCAAGAAGACCAAGTTCCCAAGTGCATTAAAAATTTATATTTTATTGAGTTCCTGGAAATTAGTAGTTAGTAATAGAAAATGTAGGGCCATCCACTTAGTTTTCTCCACTTGGGGAGAATTTTAGGCAGCAAGTTGGATATTTAACTAATAGAATCCATGCTCCCAAAGATACTGCATTGTCAAACATTAGAGTTTTTAAAAAAAATAGTCGTTGTAATTTCACCTTCCAAATCTAGTACCAAACTATTATACTACAAAGTAACCCAATCTACAAATTCTGTCAAAACCATTCCTTCCAAACCTAGATTTTGAGATACATACCAGCATCTTTAGACTGGAAGCTCTTTCTTATTATAAAAGGTGTTTTGGTTAATCTGTAATTTAAACAAACCAAAGAGAAAGTTAAAAGTGCAAGGAACAAAAAGTAAAAGAAAAGAAAACAAAGAAAAAAGGGGGAAGAGACAAAGATGTAGTTTCTGATCTTTACAGTAATCCAAGTATAAATCTAGCTCTTAGTCTTTGGCTACAAGTATAAAAGCCCGTTTTAAACAATTCTACTAGATCTTCTATATTCATATTTTTGCTAACATCTCCGTCTTCTCTCATTTACTCTTGAAACCTGCTAATGCACTAATTATTTTAGTTTTCTCATTAATGTTTCAATTCCCTTTAAAGGATCTTCCAGGAGCAAAACTTTCAAGGTTTAAGTTATACTAACACGTTCAAAGTTTTCCAGATTAGGGTGGGCCAAAAAATAAAAACCCCGTGACCAAAAATATTCAGAAAATTTTCGAGGCGGAAGACCTCTCGACAGTCAAAAAGCCAACTTGTCGCCACCTAGCGCCGCACCCCCCACACCCCCGCTGGGCACGCTTGCGCCCTAGAGAAATCGCGAAGCACCATAGAGAGCATTACACGACAACAGAACACGGGTCTCGATTTACTTCCGGTATCAAAGGGGCATGTTCAGCTGTTTCCTCTGCTCGTATACTTCAGTTACTTCTCTACCTCTGTCAAGATGGCGGCGGGCGCGGGGAGCGGAAGTGGCTCCGGCGCGGCTGGAGCTGCCTCGGTAGCCTCGCTCTGGAGCGAAGTGAATCGCTGCGGCCAGAATGGGGATTTTGGCCGCGCGCTGAAGTCCGTCAATAAAAGTGAGCAAGTGTTGCCGCCCTACCGGCGTATTATTCTCTATTCTTTTGAGACGGAGTGCGGGGAGGGGGGGTCAGTGTGGACCGGCAACCCTCCGTTGTAGACAATTGCAGGAGCATAAGTGACGATGCATTTGTCTTCAGTGGAGTTCTTCCGACTTTGCGAGGCAGATTGCTACCTGCTTTGCCCCTGCCGTAGGTAGAGCAGCGGCAAAGGAGTAACAGCTGGTCTTGCCTGAGGTGAAATTCAACTGGAGCTTGTTATTCTGGAGTGCTCCGCTTCTCTATTAAAGATACAATGTATCTGCTTTCACGCTGATCTCGCCATGAAGGGGGGAAAAACTTGCCTCTGAGAATGGTTGCTGGCTACTTTGCTTTGGCCTTAGCCGATTAATGTGCCTTTTTGCCCCAAGATCTGTGATATAGGAATGGTAGTAAAGCCGGTGTTTACTTTCTGCGACTCTGTAAAAAAATAGTGTGACAGAATGACAACTACTACTCAAAAATATTTTATAATAAGTATATAGCCTTTTATCGAGTTAAACAAGCTTCCGAAAGTGTTGTTACTGTAATGCTTCAACAGAAATGCTTCATTTCTATTAACATGCTCTGCAAAATATCCATTTCATGAGCAAACCCTTTTCTATATGTTCATCTCAAGCGAGCTCTGATGGCTTTTAACAGCTGTGTGACAGGTAGGAATTCATTACATGTCTTCTAGTCACTGTATTAAAAAGTGCTTCCTTTGCTGAATGGCCCCTTGTTATATAGTTTTTAAAAGCATAGGGAAAATGGAAAGTTAACAGCCTTTCATGGAAAAAGCACCTGTACTTACTATAACAAGCTGGCCTTCCTCACAATTGTTCTAAACAGCCATACCTTTTTAATGTTTCCAGGCACAGCTTAACTGTAATTAGGCAAAAGAAAAATTAACTAATATTTATGATGATCCCATTCCCTAGTAGTATTAGCATATTATTTGTCTCCTTTATCATACTATGTGAATTTAAAACTCAGTTCCATTTTAAATTATTTGGAGAAAATTGAGATAGACATCCTTTCAATTAGATACAGTAGTTCAGGAAAGACAGTAATTATGTTAGTGATTTTAGTCCAATATGGAAACCTTCCACCAAATAATTCACTCTCCAAAAATAAAATTGACATGCACATGAGCATATATTCTTCAAAATGTTCAGTTTATAAATCCAGCTAAGTTTTCAAAATCAGAGATATGAATAGGTAACAGGTGCAAACCATTTTTAGTATATATTCATTCTGTAGCTTAATGCATTGAATTTGCTTCTAGTACTACAAATCAGTAAGGATGATGTGACTGCTTTACACTGCAAAGTGGTATGTCTTATACAAAATGGAAGCTTTAAAGAAGCCTTGAGTGTGATTCACACCCATGTCAAAGTATTAACTAGGTAAGTATTATTAAATATTATTAGACAGACTATCTCTGCTATGTTTTCTGTATTTTTTGAAATATGAAAAATTACATAGATGTGTAAAAGTAAAACACATTTATAGAAAACATAGGGATGCACTTAATTCAAAACACATTTGAAGGAAGTTTTTCAGAACTCATACAATTACTATACCTCTGATACTTATTAAAGCAACCCAGTCTTTCTCAGTTTTGTGAGCCTGAAAAAAAGAAATGGCTGCCTTAATAAGTCCACTGATGAGATTGTTGGAGCAGTCATGTATTTTCAGGTGTGCTCATTAATTATCAATGCATAGAGAGCTGTATTCTCTTACAGTGGGGCAAAAAAGTATTTAATCAGCCACCAATTGTGCAAGTTCTCCCACTTAAAAAGATGAGAGAGGCCTGTAATTGACATCATAGGTAGACCTCAACTATGAGAGACAAAATGAGAAAACAAATCCAGACAATCACATTGTCTGATTTGGAAAGAATTTTTTTTTTGCAAATTATGGTGGAAAATAAGTATTTGGTCAATATCATAAGTTCAGAGGAGGACAGAGGAGCCTCTTAAAGAAGAAGTTACAAGTCTTGCTTGTTTGTAGGTAGGTGACCAAATACTTATTTTCCACCATAATTTGCAAAAAAAAATCTTTCCAAATCAGACAATGTGATTGTCTGGATTTGTTTTCTCATTTTGTCTCTCATAGTTGAGGTCTACCTATGATGTCAATTACAGGCCTCTCTCATCTTTTTAAATGGGAGAACTTGCACAATTGGTGGCTGACTAAATACTTTTTTGCCCCACTGTATTGTGAAAGACTTGTATAC